AATCAATTAAACTTTGCTTTATAAAGAGCGTTCGACTGGCAAAATCAGAGCATCGCATTGGTGAGTCTCCTGGATGGTAGTCTTTACCTTCTTCGGCTTGATCGCTTTCGTAAATAAATGCCAGAGTCACTTCCAACTAATGATATTGGGTCGATATTCGTACGAATTAAGGACATACTTTATTTTTTGGATTTGCAAAAATATGGAACGCTTCAAGAAAAAATTACTCCCTTTTTATTAACAGGGATTTCGCCAGCCATTCCGCCATCCAGGCCTAATCGGCTTGGCTTAGTGGCACAAACTGCCAAATCAGTCTCAGGAGTGCACCCTTGAAATTAATCGGTGGTGACCCTGGGCAACGTATACTCATACGGCAAAAAAGTCCATTAATCGGGAGCAACATACTCATACGGCAAAAAAAGTCTATTAACTGGCAGTTGAATTCTGACGTCAAACTACCACGACCCCCCCCCCTGGTTGCCATATTCGACCATTTACATGGTACTCACCTTACCTTTTTCTCTATCTTTGTGTCTGTTTGCCTCTTTTACATCTGTGAATCGCTCTTCTGTTCCCCACCCCTCGACTTTCTGCTACTTTGATGAACCTTCCCTCTGTGAAGCCCGAAGTCAGCTAAATGGCTAATGATATCTATCGAAACGCCTGCCATTTGAAATAATTTTTTTGGATTTGGGAGAGAAGCTTAAATGTTCTTATCCTACGTAAAGAGATGTTCATAGAGAATATTCAATTCGATTCGACCTTCCTAATATTTAAAACGTATGTAATTTGTTGCGAAAGTAAGATATATACTTTAAAATATTACAATTTTAAGTCTTCTTAACGAAATAACTCGCCTTCATTTCTTTACAAAGGAACCACTTTAAAATACATAATTTATTTAAGCTTAATATATTCAAGACCGAGATGGCCATTTGCAGCTACGTGATATTAACCAATTAGGAGTTTCTATTCGGCCAATAATCTTTGGCCATAAGACGCAGTGCATGTGATTGGTGTTCAACGCGTTAAAAGTAATTTTGCTTTCATTTCTCTTCACTCAAATTCAAAGTTGGATCAAGAAATGGGCGAATCTATTGCTTTCAAGTATAATCCACAGCTTTTCAGTGGTCCACAGGGAACTTGCGGATTTAGCGAAATGTTCCATAATGGGGTAAGTACGAACTCAATTTTGCTTATTGCTTCTTAATTTTTTGCCCTTTAGTCTTACACAAGTGAATAATTTTGCTTAACGATGTGTAAATGAATCTATAAGAACCATATGTATTGTGTTGTGAAGTTCATGATCTGTATATCTTTTATGTATGTTATTCTGAATTGGTTGAACAGAGGTGATATTGGAACGCTAATCATATTGCATACGCGATCATGGAAGAATTCTGTGTGTAAGTTTATCTCCTTTCGATCTAAAATCCCATTGACCAAATAATGGGAAAACTCCAGCCTTAGTCGGCTTCATAATGTACCTCTAATTGTTTGGTAGTGATGTACAACCTCACTTGTTCTTTACGTAAGACAGAAATCAATTTTATTCTAACCTTCAAGATTAATTAAATTGTATTTGGCTCAGATGAGGTCCTAATAGGTTAAGCGAAATGAATAGTCCCAATCCTACTTGGTGGATTGATTACGCAATGAGTATACTCTAAAAGAATTCATGAAGTTTTACCTTTGAAGTTAGAAAGCCAGTAACAAGTGAAATGATATTCCAGGCCATCTTTGTGTGGTTTTCCATGTCATTTAAAATAAGCTCATAATTTGTTTAAACCGTGGTTATATGCCATCTAACGATTCATTTTTTAAGGTAGCGAAATGATATTTTAATATAAAAGCTGTTTTTCCCCTCATTAAGAGCCAGTTAGAGAGACTGAATTCACCACCGTTTATGTTACCTAATATGTTTTAATAACACTTTTTAAGTTTCTTTAAATGAACTAAATCGATTATATTGGCCTTGACCAAAAAATGACCTCATTATTCGGGTCACAACAGTGATATAAATGATTATATATTACCTTAATTAACTCTTTTTTAAGTGAATGAGAGGGGTGAGTTTTGAATTTCGCTGCTGCTTCCGTTTCCCAGTCTATAGTGTTAGTGCTGTTTTTACAAATACTTTGATCGTTGGGCATGAAGGCAATGACTGGTTTGCCACAGTGTCCAAGTTAGAAGTGAATGAAGGATAGAGGATAGAGGAAAATCATAGAAATAGTTGGATGTTGAACAAATCGCCTCTGGTTCTGAGGTCTTTTCTCAGCCATGGGGTTTAGGCCACCCAGAAGCACAAAGTTCCTATCAGTATTTGGCGGCCGTGGCAGTCAAACCTTGACCACACGCACTGCACGTGAAAATGCGGACGACAGCTGTCGCGTAGTATTAAGACCGTTCGCCTCTATGCTCTTCTTTCTTTCCTCCTCCTCCTCCTCCTTTTACCCATTTTCATTAGATTAAGTCATTAGTTCCGAATACCGAATATTCAAATACGCTTTAGGTGAATAGGGTAGGGACGATTTAAATGCCCAAATTCTCACGATTTTGGTGGGTTGGTAGAAGACAAAAAGAGCCGATGGCATCCTAGCCACTAGCTAAATTGAGTTTCCAAGACAGCCCAAGGATGGGGCAGTATTTGTTGTAGTTGCTATACCACCACCTGACTACCTGCCATCAAATAATACGAGTGCCTGAACAACTGTCGGCGCAGTGCAATGACAATACCTATATCTGTCCAAGCTACCCACCTCTTCCTCTTTATTAACTCAGTAAATTGACGAACCACGATTTCATAAGAAGTCCAAGGGTTCTCTAATCACTTCAGATCACTCGCTCATTAAATATCTATGACTTTTCTGCTTTTTAGAGAAATTCTATGCCATTTTACCAAGATCTGTCCCAAGGATTGTCGTATTACCCTGGCAAGTCGAACAATCACTACTTTAAATCCGATGAGAACCTCCACTTTAAAGCTCAAACAGATGGCACTTGGGATAATGAATCGAACAAAGTATATGCTAATTTGAATTCAAATCAAGATGAGCAATGCCACGTATCCATTAGCTATGACATGGACACTCAAATAAAATCATCATTACCTCCAGCATCAGCAATGTCCAAAATTAATTACTCTCCTGAATGTTTACCAGGGGCTTCGAAGGGACCTACTACGAATTCGACAGAGGGCACTCCGGGAGATTTTCATCAACCCACACCTCCACTTCCGAAAGAGGGACAGGTGCCATTGCAAAGAAGTCCTCCTATGAATATGGGTGGAAATCCTCCTCAAGATGTACACTATCAAAATCCTTACCAACAAACTGGCAATGAATTTGAAATCAACTGCACCAGTTATCCACGCAATAATTGCATACAAGGTGTTCCGATGAACGAATACTCTCATTATGAATACTCGAGGCCACCCCATCTTCCCATGCAAGCACCTACAGTTTATAATCCTGTGGCTTACGGACCGGAGTCGTTTAATCCACCAATGCCTAATCAAGAGTATTCATACGCTCCTCCTCCGCAAAATTACGTGCATGGACATCCTGGTTCCATCGTCACAATGCCTCAATACCAGGGCTACATCCCTCATAGTGTCAATGCAATTGATAACTACACTACTCCATCATATGGCGAAATGGTTTCACAAAATCTACCCCCTCCAAGGTAAATTTTTTGATAACTTTTGATCTTACTTATTGTGATAAGATGTCGTCTTTCAATATGCTCAATGTCATTACAGAATTCACCAACAAATTGATGGCCCAAGACGTAAGAATGCTTCTAGAAAAGCGACAGCAACATTGAAAGAGTGGCTAAACGAGCATAAAAGTAACCCATACCCAACTAAAACTGAAAAGTCCACACTTGCATCAACTACTGGCATGAGCTCCAGTCAGGTATGAAACTGTTTCAATTTCATTCGCTAATTTTACGCGCATATTAAGCATTTGCATGAATGGCATTTATGGCTCTCATATTTAGTTGATTTTCTTAAATGAATATGCATATCAATATTAAGAGATTTGATCAGTAGATGTCTCTGCTTCGCATTCTGGCACATTCCCACCTGTCATTTATTCAAGACCTAAGTCCAAGTACTCCAGCTTGCTGACTGAATTCTGTCTTCTACTTTGGTGAAAGTACTAATAGTATTGATTCGTTGAATATTCTGAGTATTAAAGTTGAAACGAGGGAATTCGATGTACATCGCTTTTACGAAATGTTTAACACGTGATCCAAACATTAATCAGATGATGTTTTTAGCAAATAAGTTCAACCAATAGTTCTGCAGCCTTAAAATTGGCCTATTAGGATGCTTGAGTTCACGATTTGCTAATCACTTCCAAATTTGAAAATGAGTGCAGATATTTTGGCATATTCGAACAAATCCATAATGGCATATTTTCAAATCACTTATTTTAATGTGCATTTGCACGTAATGGTCAGAACTACACACGAAATACTAAGCTGACAAGTTACTTCATAACTGCTGTAGACCGGAAAAGTTGTAAGATACGGCAAGGAGATTTGGTTCGAGGGCAACAAGCTAATTAATTATTTTCTTCTCAAACCGAAGAACACCGACTACTGTTAGAAGAGGCTCTCAATGAATTCATTGCCAAAACTATTAATGGTAAATCGAGATGGTTGCATACTATGTGGCACGTACAGATAATGCCAATTATGTTAAATTTATTTCAGATATCAACATGGTTTGCAAATGCTCGCCGAAGACTGAAGAAGGAGAATAAGATGACCTGGGCCCCACGGACAACCAACACCGCCGATTCTCGTCCGAGAGTAGCAGACATGGTAGGGGGAGATGACTTGGAACGACCTCATTCTCCCTTGACAAATGCAGAAGGAGTTGAACCTCTTGTCCGACACTACCCCTTTCTGTACCCTGAATATCCTCATCCGCATCCTTCTCAGCCATCAGTGCCTTTTCCACCAGGCTAGAACTTGCAGTGAACAAGATCTAGCTGAAAAACGTGTACACGGTGTCTTTCAATTGGCTTTTTGATGAATTTGGGATCATATAAAAACGGCGCTTACCACTTCCTTCATTCTAATTGTACATATAAAATGTATATAAAATTCAGGTGAAAGATTATGTGTTATCATTTATTTTATACAATTTATTGACCGATTTAAAGGTGATGGTGTTATCTACGAATTGTTACAGAAGGAACGCTCTCTGAGCATTCCATAGATTTGCATTCCGATAAATTTACTTCCTGTTAGGGAGGGGGTGGGAACGAAGGGGGGGGGGGTTTATGGGGTGTGATTTTGGCACTGAAGTTCTTGGTGAGCACCATCAACACGAGCTTTGAACCATAAAATGTTCAGTGCGTTGCTTTTCGTACTGTGTGTACTGCTTTTAGAAAAAACTTCAATTGTTATTTATTTATTAATATTTGCGACAGATTTCTTTTATTTTTGACACTCTGTATGACTAGAAGAAGAAAGTTTTGCGCAGATCCGGGGTGGGGAGAGGGTACATCCCCGCCCCTCTCCCCCCCCCACCCCCCCCACCCC